CCCCTGCAGCAGCCACTTGGGGATGGAAGCAGCAGCGGCGCAGCTGGATTGGGCTGTGTGTAGCAGAGGTGTCCTGAGGGCAGAGGGAGGGAGCCATGAAATGGTGGCACAGGGGCTGGCAGGAGGTTGCCGGCCAGCAGTGTGTACCATGCTGGAGCTTGGAGAATGCTCTGGGCTCCAGCTTCTGACCAACAAACCCGGAAACCGCAGGCCATTGGAAGCGGTCCCGGCTGCTGCTGGCAAAGCACCCAGGGAGCTGCCTACCTACTGGCAGAGGGAGGCGTTTCTGTTGGGCTGCACTAGTGTCTGTGAGGCTGCCCCAGTGAGGGAGGGAAATGGCAGTGCCACTTCTAGCCGGATCCAGCCAGGCTTTTTGGCACATTTCCCTACTTGATAGGGACACCAAGACACAGCATTTGACTTTGGGACTGCCCCGGAAAAACCAGGACATATGGCAACATATCCAGTGGGGACAGCCTCACTGCACCCCAGTTCCAACCGGAAAACAACAGAGGCAGGGCAGTGCCAACCATGTGGCCTCACCAAAACCCACCACCAGCCAGAAAGCGAGTAGTGAGCACTGCTGTGTGGCTCTGTAAATGGGGAGGGCAGCCTTAAAATGTTTTGTGCGCAGCAGCAAAGCTTAGAAGGAACTATGGCGAGGCCTTCCAAATCTGACAGGCAGCTTCCTCGTCTCCTAACAAAGCAAGATCAGGGCTGGGTTGTGTCAGGAGAACCAGAAGCCCTGGGAAAAGGATTGGTTTCTATAACATGCAAAGGGAGGAACTGCTTGCAAAAGGAGGGACTGCTTCTGAAAGGACACAATATCCTGCAGTGTCCACTGGGGACAGCCATATCACCAAGGGAGTGGCCAGCAGTGCTGGGCTCTGTCCTCTTGCCTGGCAGCACACTGGTAAATAGCCCCCCCTGCTCCAAGCACACTCATCCTTCCAGGCCTTGGCTGCAGGGCCAGGGGGAGAGGGCAGGTCCCTGGTGACTGGTTAGGTTGGGCCAGAGAACAGGCTGTGGGGAGGCTGTGGATGTGGTCAGAAAAGAGAGAACAGTCTCAATGTGGGTTGGGGAAGTGGCCTGGAGTGGGGGGAAGAATAGGCCTTGGGCAGAGTTGGTAGGTGGTCTAGAGGGGTGAGAGAAGTGGAGTTGGGAGGTGACCTGTAAAGGAGAACAGGCCCGGGGTGCTGGGGGGAGAGAACACACCCCTGGTCCCCAGCAAGGTGCCCACCAACATCCTCAAGAAGCTGTTAAATGACCAGGCTTATATCACAAGATCTGCAGGCTGGCCTATGTGAACATGCTGCCTTCAGGCGGGGGAAGGAGAAGTTACAAGCTGCTATTCTTGGTACTGATTTGTATAATGGAGTTTACTACAGTTCTTGTTTTCATTTTGACCATAGCTGTCCCTACAGCCTCCCCATGAGATCTGTGCCACGCACAAAGCACACACTCAGGGACAACCCTTCCCCACCCCCAGCAGACTGAAGAGTAGTCAGATAAGACAAATACTGTGCAGAGAAACTGAGGCACGGAAAGACACATGAATTATCCAAAGTCATGCAGCAAGTCAGGTGCAGAGTTGGAAATACAACTCAAATCCCAGTCCTGTGCCCAAACCACTAGGAGACACTGCCACACCTTCAGAAGCATTGGGCAGTGATGAAGTTAGGAGGAAAAGGCGCCTTGATAAAAGTCCCAAGCAACCTATCAGCGAGGTTTCCCACTGGGATAATGAACTTCTGGGCTGCTCCATGAGGGGTTAAACACAGGTGCTGTGGCCGGCACTAGAGGAGATCACGGGGCTAGCTGCTGTGTGGGACCCTGAGGGCCTTGAGTCCACCCATAGCAGGGCTCCAGACAGCAGAGGGATATTCCAAACACCACTAGGATTAGACTGAATTGCAGCAAAACCAACCTATGGGCAATGTTGACTGGTTTCAGTCACCTGCTTTATTGCATATGTTTGTCCTACCAGGCAGCCTTTTCAAATCTCTCAGAATCCACTGTTTCTGCAACTTTTCCTAGCAGCTACCCAGGAGGCATTGCTACTAAAAGCATTCAAGACAGCACTAACCACACCTTAGCCATTCTCACCAAAAATCAGCCTGTCGAGGGGTTTTGCCATAGCGCTCAGACCAGCTCTGTCCAACCAATGGAATACCCAGGGCTTCCGGGCTGAAATTCAATTAGGATTTGGGCCCTTGGAGAGTCCCAGGTGATATTTCAAGCCCTGGTGCTTTCGGGGATTTGTATTACTTTGGTAATCTTCTGAAAAACATGTTAATTGATTGACCACTAGAGTGACCCCAGTTTCCTGTTCTGTGCTAGTAACTGATCATTACTAATCAAGCTTGGCTAACGGAGGTCTATTTCCAATTACTTTAAAGATTAAATCTGAATTGTTAATAAGGCCTGGATATGACACTCCCAGTTTTCATTTCTTTGATGGCCGTGATATTATCAGCCGATTAGGACCAATTGGATTTGGGTGGAAAAATACCACCCTGCACACACCCCTCTCAACCTGCAAAATAAAAGCTCCCAATTCATTTCTGTTTCTATAGGGAAAAATCCAGGCCCATTTGAAAACTCTTAGGGAAGAGAGAGAGAAGCTGCTGGGATTTAAAGCAACTGGAGAGGAGAAATGCCAGGAGTATCTGGTAGGTACCTGGAGAGACTTGCTGTGAGAAGACGGTATGGAGGCAGATTCCAACATGTTTTTGTCCATGTTTCTCCATGATCATGGATTTTGTGTTAGGTTTATGTGCAAAATCTAAATTCGCATCTCAGTGACAGAGTTAATTTCTGACCCTTGTGGCTTTTCCTTTCCCTTTTCCTTTCTTAGATTGCTTAATTATTTATTCTCTTTTCTCCCTGGAGCTTCTGAAAGTGTACTGCTGAATTCTGCCTATTGCTGACCTGGATTTCCTTTCTTGGTGGCCATGGATAACACAGTGCTGCAGTGTAGACGTAGCCTATTTTGGCATCTTAACAGCATGCCCCTTATTTCAAGCTTACTATTCTGAAGTCCCTGTACCACGAGGAGCAAGGGACACTTTGGAATAGTGGGTTATTTCTAAATTTGGTGCTAAACTACAAAATACGCTATTTCAAAATAAGATAGAAAAAAGCTACACAGTTTGCATAGCCCAAATGATGTATCTTATTTCAAACTACAGTGCATTGCAAATGTAGCCCCAACGTCCTAACCATGTAATCAGGAACGCCATTTGGGGGAGGCCTTGGCTCTAGCACCGTCCCACCCCCCAAAGTTTGAACTTTGGAATTCTGTTACTTGAAGTCTGCTTAAAGTGAATGTGCTGGCCTAGCCCCAGAGGCGGCTCTTAACTGCAATAAATCTTGTGTTGCAGATGTATTAATTATTCAAAATAATTCAGTACAAAGATCTCACTAAACTAAGTGATTAGGCAACACAGGTACAGACAGAATTCAGTGTTGATAAATGCAAAGTAATGCTCATGGGAAAATATAATCCCAATTATGCATACAAAATGATGGGGATCTAAATTAGCTGTTGCCACTCAAAGAGATCTTGAAATCTTTGTGGATAGTTCCCTGAAAACACCTACTCCAGGTATAATGGCAATCACAAAAGCGACCAGAATATTAGGAGTCATTAGCAGGGCTCGACAAATTATACAATCTACTCGCCTGTGGTGAGTAGATTGTAACCCGGAAGAGCCGGGTTCGGGTGATCTGCGCATGCACAGATCACTGAACAACACGGCTGGCAAGCGGGGCTCGCAGATCACTGAACAACACGGCTGGCAAGCAGGGCTCGCCACGGTTTGACGAGCCCTGGTCATTAGGAATGGAATAACTAATAAGACAGAAAATATATTGCTGCTATGTGAATTCATGGTATTATGCCCATATCTGGAATACTGCATGCAGCTCTGGTCACCAATGGGATCGGTGAAATTGTGCTAGGGTTGGGGGCAGTGCACAAACCCCACAGGGGCACATGGCGCACAGCTAACTTATCTGCTAAAAAAACTATAGTTTAAGTGCCATAATAGCCACTGGAAAGAGGTGATGTGAGCATGTGGACAAGGTCAGTGTCTCCCACATTTGCTTCTTGACTTGTTCTGGGCATGCTCAGTAACACTGCTGAAGCCGCAGTCTCCAGTCTACCCCACACACTTTTCCCACAACTATCACAGCATGCTCAGGTTGCCCCCAACCTGAAATAGCGCCCTTTCGTGTCAGACACGTAAACATCACTTTTCAGAGACCTCGTTGAAAAATCAAAAAGATGTCGGAGAATCCTCTGCGAACTAACCACAGGGTAGAGTCAGAAATCTTAGGTTTGCAAACAAATTCTCCCTCAGAATTCCATGTTTGCAGCAATGTTCCTGACCAGCCCTTTCCCGGCTTCTTTATAGAAACAGATAGAAAAGGAGAAGCAGAAGATTGTGGCTGAATTTCAGCAACTGAGTCAGGTCCTGGCAGAACAAGAGCGACTCCTGCTGGCCCAGCTGGAAAAGATGGATAAGGCAATTGTGAAGATACAGAATGAAAATATCACTAAACTCTCGAAGGAGATTTCCCGTCTCAGCGAGCTGATTGGTGAGCTGGAGGGGAAGGATCAGAAGCCAGCCAATGAATTCCTGCAGGTGAGACTGTTTAAAATACGCCAGATGCTACCACAGGGACAGGGCATGGGAATCCAGCAGTCAGAGATCAGTGTAACTCAGCATGCACATTGCTGACATGTGAACGACTATTAATCATTGCAGAGTCACAGACATAAGAAATATAAAGAAAGACAAAACCCCCATTCCTTCAATGAACATATCGCAAAGTGGTTAGGGCAGAGCCTCTCTTCCCTACATTTCAAAATTCCTTCCTTGGAAAATTAAGTGCCTTTCAAATGGGACTGAAATTCTCTCTCTCTCTCATTCCAGGACATCAGTAGCACCTTGAGCAGGTACGTGGCTCTCTCTCTCCCCTTAAAGCTTGGAGCTGATGTTTGCACCACATCTCCCCAGGGCTCTGCAGCCAGATGTGAGGGCAAGGTCACAGGATGAGCACCAATTTCTCTGACAAGCTTCAGCCTGAGGGTCTCACCCTTGGAGAGTAGACTCTGGAATTCTCCATTCATTGGCAAAGTCTGACCAATTATTTCCTAGAGCTGTCACCTCCCTGGGGACTGGCTGCCTCAGGACTGTGGGGTGGAACATGGGCCCATCACTGCTGGCACATTCAGCCCAGGGCTGCAGGGATCAAGAGTCTCTCCCACCGGAGGGCTGTTTGGAGACTTGAGTGGAATGAGCTGGGGAGGGGAGGAGCAGATGTGTCAGTCTAGTTCAGGGGTGGGCATACAGGCCTCTGCAGGCCGAATTTGGCCCGCCAAGTGGGTTGATTCAGCCCGCAGAGGCCCTGCCGCTCCCCCCACCCCCCGCCAGTCTCTTCCCATCATCAGAGGTTGGGGGGAGACGGAAGAGCCCAAAGCATCCTGACTCCACCCCTTCCAGAGCAGCCAGGGGCACTTCAAAAATTCTGGAAATGGCCCCCAGCAAAAAATTATTGCCCACCCCGATCTAGTTCCCCACTCTGGGAAATCAACAGCCATGCCAGGTCCCTGGGGCAAGGTGTGTGTGTCGGGGGGGAAGGGAGCTCTTTGCTTCCAGAAGGGGCGGGGTCAGCCTGAAGTGTGCTTTTCCCTTTCCCATTCCCACACCTTCACCAGACCTGATTGCCACCAGAAGACCAGCTTCTGGACACAGCTGGAAGCTCCAGGCCCTTTAAAATCATTGGGCCCTGGGATACTTGCCCACTTTGCCCTTCCTTCCCTCACCCTCCTCTCAGCAGGCCTGTTCCTAGAGGACAGATTTCTGCAACACTCAACAAGGAACCTCCTGTCCCTCAGAATATGCAGGTCAAGGAGGCTATGTCTACACTACGGAACATAGTAGAATTAAGATACGCAACTTCAGCTACGTTAATTGCATAGCTGAAGTCAAAGTACCTTAAATCAGCTTTTGGCACTGACCACACTGAAGGAAGTCGAAGGGAGAACACTCTCCCTTCAACTGTCCTTACTCCTGGTGGAAGCAGGACTACCCGCATCGATTGGATCGCCCTTCTCAGTTCAAATTAACTGTCTTCACTAGACCCGCTAATACGAACCCTGGAAGATCAACAGCAGCAGCTTCAGTAGTCTCAGTAGTGTAGACATACCCAAAGAGAATTGGCATGGAGGCTCAATTCCTCTTTTGTCCTCAGAGCTGGTCTCTCCAGGCCAGAGTTGAAGAATATTAATGGGTCCTTTGAGGGGAACATTTCATGGCCAAGGGCTGTGCTGCACCTGCTCTCAGGCTGGAATAATTGGAGGGATTCTAACTCCAGGCCCATTAGAGCAGCGACTCACTAGCCAGAACTTGAGTCACTAAAAACAATATAACCATGTGAATGTGTCTCTCTCCAGGGGTAGGACAGGGAAGGGAAAGTTCCATCAGCCAGTGAAGATTTCTCCTAAACTGAAAGTGAGACTCAGTAATTTCTCTGAGAAAACTGTCGCTCTAATGAAGACTCTGAAGACATTCAAAGGTACTGTGAAGGGATCTAGGAGGCGAGATCAGTTTGAGCCCTTTGGGAGAAGATTGGCTGTGACAAGATGGTTCAAAATTAGATGATGCATTTATTTCATTGTTGGATGATACATCTTCACATTCGGTGTCCAAGTCACTCAAGCTGATTAATTCAAATCTTTGTTTGTACCAAAAGCATGCCTTGCCATTACAATTCTTACTAGAGTAAGAAATGACAGACATACTGAAAGCAGTACTAGCCAGCTATTTTCTCCTGGGGCATAGGCTAGTCAAGGGGGCTTTCTTCTGTGATGTTAGAACTACCTCAAACAATGTCTGACATAATACACATCCAAACTATGTTTTTTAAATCTGTTCCTATCACCACTGACCATTCTGAATATTAAATACCTTTTATAACTCATACTACACATGCAAGAACTTTTCTATTGGCAGCGCTTTTGCTGTCCAAGCTATTTGCATGTCACTGTTCTCTTCTCTGCATCAGAGTTGTGGACTTGGCTAACTGCTCCTGGGCAGTACATTTTAGATGCCAGTTGTATTTAAGCACCTTGTGTGGTGAAAACGTCTCTTTGTTTGACAGAGCAACTTATGAGCACAGCACTTAATGGCAAGGCAATTGAAGTCAATATCTCCTTTCTACCAAGGAAACTGCTAGCCAGATCAAAGCCCATCAGTACAAACACACAATCTTGCTTGTCAAACTGCTGCATAAGAACTGACCCTTGTACCAAATTCTCCATACTTAGCATAAGAAGTGCAAAGCAGACAAACAGAGCAGATGTAGCAGGGTCCAAGTGTCTCACATTAATTCACAGATTATCAAAGCTCAAATATTAACCATCAAATTCAGCAAAATTCCTTCAGTTGGGGCACGTCTGCATGTCTCTCCCCCCTCTGTTCTAAACAGGGTTATACTTCCCCTGAAAGAACAGGTCTGCAGCATAGGAGTCCTCCTGGACCCTTTTCCAACATTTGAAAACCAGATGTCTTTGGTGGCCAGAAGTGCTTTTGGGCAGCTTTGGCTGATCTACCAGCTGAGACCCGTTCTGAATAAGAATGACTTGGCTACAGTGATTCATGCTCTTGCCACATCCCAACTGGATTATTGTAATGTACTCTATGTGGGGCTGCCTTTGAAGAGTTTTTGGAAGCTTCAATTGTTCCAGAATCCAAAAAGCTCGAGTTTTAACTAATACTTGTTATACAGAGCACATTATGCCAGTACTCCAGCAGCTGCACTGGCTTCCAGTATGTTTCCTGGAATAATGCAAGGTCTTGATTATGACTTATAAAACCCTAAATGGGTTGGGACCAGGGTATTTGAAGGACTGTCTTGAATGAACCTGGCCGGAGATTGGGGTCAGCTGGGGAGGCTCTGCTCCATATCCCTCCACTTATGGAGATAAGGTTGACAACTATGCGGAACAGGGCCTTCTCAGCCATTGACCCCAATCTATGGAATTCTCTCCCCGGGGCATTTTCCTGGCACCAACACTGGCACTGTTTTAGCACTGGGCCAAAGCCTCCCTTTTTACCCGCGCTTTTATTGGTGTTGAGAGAGAAAGTGTGTGTCCTGCCTCTTGAGGTGTTTTAGCAGGTTTTATGCCCGTTCCTCCCCCCCCTTTGGGGTCTTGTATTTTTCTCTCCCCTCCCCCACTCTTTTAATGAGTGCCCAGGCAGGTTAATGTGTTTCTGTAACTGCACATCCACTAATATGATCTATGCCATCAAATACCAGCAATGCCCCACTACCATGCATATTGGCCAAACTGGACTGTCTCTGTGGGAAAGAATTAATGGACACAAATCAGATTTATGAAAAGGCAACACACAGAAGCCTGTTGGAGAACACTTTAACCTGCCTGGGCACTCATTACTAGATCTCCAAGTCACCGTGTTGTTTCAGGCCAATTCCACAAGCCAAAAACACAGGGAAGGGTTGGATCTTAAGAATTAAACTTGTAAATGAAGTTATCAGAATGGAATGAACAGAGATATCAGCTGGCTTGCACACTACCTTCCATATCCTAATGACTTAACCAACCAAACAATAGAGGTGCTAATTGTTCTTATCAGCCTCTTGTAACTCCTTGAACAATCTAGTCACTGTCTTTTTTTCCCCTTCCCTTATATATTCTTGGATCTGGACTTTTAACAATCCTGTCATCTGAAGAAGCGGGCTGTGCCCACGAAAGCTCCTGATATCATCTCCACAGCATTGTAATTTTCTATTGGTTGTTTAAGTTTTTCTATAGTGTTTGTAATTAGAGTCAGGTTAAAAGAGGGACACTGGCTGGGTAAAGTTGGGCCTCCATCTCTCTGCCCCATGGTCCAGGCACACAGGGCCATTGTAACAGGAATGTGACTCTGGATGGCATCACAACAGCCTGAGCCAAGCTCTGGACCAGCCCCTGCAGCCACTGACCAGAAGGGTCACAAATGACCTCCCCTCCCTGCTTTGGTCAGCACAGGGTGAATCTGGCCCATGGAGCCACCTGCCCCTGCCTCAGTTTCCACAGGGATAAAATGATTTTATCATTATGCCTATTGCTGCCTGTGGAGGACGAGGCCCCATCATGCTGCTCTCTAGAGAGACACTGAGGAAACAGACCCCACAGCTCACAATTAGAGCCAGGAGTCTGCAAACTCTGAACATCCTGTTAGTGTCAAAAGGCATGTCTACACTAGCCCCCTAGTTTGAACTAGGGTGGCTAATGTAGGCATTCGAAGTTGCAAATGAAGACCGGTATTTAAATATCCCAGGCTTCATTTGCATCTTTCCAGACACCGCCATTTTTAAATGTCCCTTAGTCTGAACACTGTGCCCGTGGCTACACGCAGCACGGAGTAGGTAGTTCGAATTAGGATCTCTAATTTGAACAACCGGTACACCTCGTTCCACAAACTACCTACTCTGTGCCGTGTGTAGCCGCGGGCACGGAGTGCAGACTAAGGGGCATTTAAAAATGGCGGTGCCATTTATATTTAAATCCCGGGCTTCATTTGCAACTTCGAATGCCTACATTAGCCTCTCTAGTTCGAACTAGGGGGCTAGTGTAGACATACCCAAAGGGATTAAAGTGGGTAAAGTTACTTTTATGCAAAAATATTTGCAGGGTCTGGTCTAGGTTACAATAAAAGGCAGTAAGTGAATCAGACAAGCTAAGTGGAGTCTGAAGCCCAGGGTAGGATGATGAGGGGGAAGTAAATGGCATTGGTAGATTATATGTCCTGGAATGATTACAAGGCTTCATAGACGTTGTCTCTATTGTTAAAAGATGCCTGAATGAGAATGGAAATGGAATCAGACCATTTTAAATACCTGAGCCTGTCTCAGTCTGTTTTTCTGTCCAAATTTAAAGTTTTAGCATTTTGAAGTAGGGACACAGTTATAAATATGAGAGGTTTATATCTTTCTTCTCTTATCCCTTCCCCCACCAGATACACTGCCATCTACTCTGGAGAGAAAAAGAGGGAAATCCCAAGAACCATTCAGACTGGGTAAGTTTGCAAGTGGAGATTGTCTTTGGATTATGAAAAAATTCCAGTGAAAGCATCTTCTTGAGATTGTAACTAAAGTTACCAACCAAACCCACAGCAACCATGACACGCACAGAGCCCTAACACTAACCCACTGACCAGTGAGGAGACCCAGGGGAACGGGAACAGGGGAGACCAGGACCCCCTGCTCTCCCTTTTTAAAAAGTAGGATGAAAAAAGCCCATCCAGTTTCACACAGGGTAGGGAGCCACTGCCCTGGATAGGCCTGGAGCTTCACAGGCAGTGGCTGCACTTTGTGGTGGGGCAGCTGATCAACTCTCCCGCAGTGAAGTGAAGCCTGCCTGCAGCTCTTCCTGTCAAGCCTCTGTTCCCTGACCAGGCCAGAAACCAGAGCTGGGCTGCTCCCCATTGAGCCCAAGCTGCCCTGAAAAGCCCTAGCCCCTCACCTGCCCTGGAAGAGGAGAGATGTACTGATTTCAGGGCCCCCAGGCCGCTACCCAGGGCAGAGGATTAAAAGCTCTCCACACCAGCTAAGGTTCTCAGTCTGGCCAGAGGGTGGGGCCCTGGAAAGAACAGGAGGGGGGTGTCCTTGTGCTTTGGGCTCTCATGCCTTTCACCAGCATTCCATGGCGGGATCCCAAGCTGACATCACACGAAGACGTCTGACACCAGCCGTGGGGCTGAGATCCTGTCCAGGCTGCTACACAGAAACCCCCTCCCTGAGCAGCGCCCACATGGAGCTCTCTGCCCTGAGACTGCCACCTCCCTCTGCTTCACCCCAGTGCAGGGGGCTCCCCATCGCTCTTCTCCCCCATCCGGCCTTTCCTCTGGGTAGGGCTGGGCTCTCCCATTGGAGCTGCTCCCTGCCTTGGGGAGAAACTCTCCCTGCGGTGCTGGCAGCTCCTCCCTTCTCTTTGGGCTGGAGCTGCCCCACCCAATGCCACCCCCTGCTCTCTAGGGTTAGGCAACCCTTCCCCAGCACTGCACCTTCCCCTCTGTGTCCTGGCCTGGGAGTGGAGGCTGCAGTAGGGGAGGGAGTTTTCCTCTGAGGAGTAATGCTGGTACCTGCCTCCTTTGCTCCCTCTTCAACAAAAACTTTGGACACCCTCGTGGCTGTGTCCTTGAAGCTGGGATTTGGACAGGCTCAAGCGTCTGAAATTAAACGGAAGCAGATGGAGGAGCTGCAGTGACAGCACTGCTCAGTCTCAGGGGCCCAGCCAGGACCGATGTAGCTTCCTCGGACCCAGGCCTGTCACAGCCAGGACAGGGCTGCTGGGGAGGGTGAGAAATGGCTCCAGCTACCCCCAGGGCTGAGCTCTGCTCTATACACTCCAATTCTCTCTCCCCAGCAATTATGACTCTGGATCCAGATACGGCCCATCCCCGACTCATCCTATCTGAGGATAAGAAAAGTGTGAGATGGGGAGACACACGGCTGGATCTGCCCGATACTCCTGAGAGATTTGACATTGCGTTCTGTGTGCTGGGCTGTAAAGGCTTCACCTCGGGGAGACACTACTGGGAGGTGGCGGTGGGAGGTGGACAACACTGGGGAGTGGGGGTGGCCAGAGAGTCTGCAATTAGGAAAGGACAGATTAGCCGTAGCCCTGAGGGGGGCATCTGGGCTGTGGCGCTGTGGGGGGGTAGGTTCCGGGCTCTCACCTCCCCTCTGACCCGCCTGCCCCAGAGCTGGGCCCCCAGCAGGATCCGAGTGTGTCTGGACTGTGACCTGGGGCAGGTGACATTTATCGATGCTGATGACAAGACCCCTCTCTTCAGTTTCCCGCCAGGCTCTGTTCTTGGGGAGACAATCCAACCTTGGCTCTGGGTTGGACATGACTCTCCACTCAGACTGTCCCCGAGACATGGAGAGAATATCTAGCTAGGGACCCTGAGATCAGCTTCTCTAGTCTGAGGCATCCTAAGCTGTATGACAAGGATAGGCAATAAAACAGCAGTGGTTCACCAGGATTAGTCCCTGATGGGCCACTGCAGCTATATTTACCTGCTCCTCCACAGGTATTGCTGGGAACATTGATCTGTGGCCAATGGGAGCTGTGATTCCCCAGACCTATAGAGGTGTAGGTAACTTGGGGCGGGGGGCTGCCAGGGGCTAACCCTGGTGGACCAGAGTCAAACTTGGGTTGGTATTTGCCCACCTATGCTGTACTACCTCACTCATTCTTTCATGATATATCTATGACCTTGGAGGTTGCTGCAGGTCTCAGCTCTGTGCAGCCTCTGGCCTGTCCAACCCCAGAGAGCACTGAGTGAGCGAGGTAGAGAATCAGATCTCCTGGCCCCAGGGATTGTGCAGCCCGTTTGCCGCTGTCCTCTATGGTCCAGGGGGATTCTGGGTCGGACAGTGGCCTGAGACATGGGGGAAGAACAGCCCACTGGGAATGAAAACATGGGCTTCTCTTCCCACAGTTATTCCAGCGCTATGGCCTGGAGGACCCCTGTCTACTCAGTCCTTTGGCCTCTTAGCTCTATGAACCCAGGAGCTCCTAACCCCTCCCTCCGTGCAGCATGTGGATGGGAGGACTCTGTGAGCATAAGAACGACCGTACTGGGTCAGACCAAAGGTCCATCTAGCCCAGTAGCCTGTCTGCTGACAGTGGCCAGCACCAGGTTCCCCAGAGAGGGTGGACCAGAATTTACAGATGGGCTGGGGACAGACAGATGAGGGGAGGAGGGTGGAGACACTAAGGATATTAAGTATCAGGTAACTGACTAATGGAATAGTCAATACATTTTATCCCCAGTTAATCCTGGGCTCCACATGGCGCTGCCACTTTGAAACACCAAGTGCAGCCTGGGGACACCTCAGCTGGTCCCAGGCTGCATGCAGCTTTTCAAAGGGGCAGCACCGTGTGGAGCCCAGGGTCTGGCCCCAGGCGTCTAGCAGCGCTGGTACTTTGAAGTACTCTCTTTTCTTCCCCTTCCGCCTCCGGGGGGAAGCAACTAATCAACTATCCAATATGCATTTACTTATCAGATAATCAACTAATCCTTCACATTCCTAGGAGAATTAATTAATTGGGGTTTGGGTAGAAGCTGGAGGCTCTGCACCAGCGGAGATATTAGCAGAGGAAGACTCAGGGACCAGGGATCATACATTCACTCCAGTACACAATAGATATGAGTGGCTAGTGCAGACTCTGCCTACAGTGATAGAAGGGGTTTTCCATCTGTGCAGTGAATTCACCTCTGGGAGAGGCAATAGTTAGATCAACAGAATTCTTCCAGTGACCCACCTGCATTTAGATCACAAAGATCTGAAACATTTCACAGCTGAGGGATGTAATGAGGCCAACCTAACTTGTGTGTGTAGACTTGGCCTCAGAAAGAGAAAAGTTTTGTGTATATGCTCCAGTCACTAGCAGAGCACAGCTACAGCTGTGTTGCTGAAGCACAATTCTACTGTCTGCCACGGTGGGGGAGGGTCAGGTGGCTCTAGCTGTGGCCCTCAGCACACACAATGTGCCAGAGCCCTGAGCGATTCGCTAGGCTGATCCAAGTGTAAATGTGAAGCAGGCCTCAGAGGTGTCAATTAACTTTAGGGTGAAGCTAGAGGGGTAAAAACAGGTGGGGTGGCTGGGTAGGAGCTGGGGTTTGGCTCAGGGGAAACGCTGCCAGCCACTGTGCAGAAGATTTGCCCCCAAACAGGGAGGGACAAAAGGGATAACAGTTACCCAGAGGGGTGAGCCACCTTTTGAGTGTGCAAATGCAGGAGGGGGGCAGAGAGGTTTATTATTCACCCCCTCTCAGAGCTAAACATATCAATGAGGGAGTACAGGGCAGCTTCCTGATGGTACTCTTATTAGGGATGTTAAATTGCAGTTTGTATGCTAATCGAGTAGTTGATGGAATTTGCATCAACTACTTAATTAATCGCTAAGGGGATTAGCTCCCAGGGCAGTGCAAGTCAGGACTGAGCAATCACGATTTATGCTGGCTGCAACTGCCATGGTTCTGCTTTGTAAATGCAGTAAGAGCTGCTAGGCTGCCCTCCCCTGCCGGCCCCCACCGGAGACACTGCTGGAGGGGGGACTGACTTTTAAGCTAGCTCCCTCCAGCACCAGCTCCTGCTCCCCCCCTTGATCCCTCTGATATCTTGCTCCTAACACTTCCCACATCCCAGACTCCCATCCTGATCCTGCATTCTGCCTAAAATTTGCTCCGATCTCAGCCTGTTCCCATGCAACCCCCTCCCACATATTGAATCTCTTATTGTTGTCATGACCCCAGAGCCTAAAAGCCCCATAAAATCTTCATGCCCTGGGTTCCTAAAGGAGTTAATCCAGCTCTGGGGGTAAGCCCTCACAAAAATTAAGATGATACCCATTAAATGGACATCATGTGGAAAACAGAAAGCAAGTCATATCACCAATGCAATCTCTAAAGCAAATTGAGCGGGACCTTACTGGATTAAATATGTCCAAGGTCATACCTGAATCACCCCATATGTACAAACGTTCCATAAGGAGTAGGAATACTGGATGCACTAACAAGCAAACTAAAATTTGTAACAGCTGAAATTTATGAGTTGGGAAAGCCTGTCAGTGCATCAGTATCAAAATTAGGAATAGGACAACAATTATTTTCTAGAATATTGCCAATGTGGCAATAGCAAGAGGGAAAGAATTTGTTACTTTTAGCAGAAACTATGGGATCAGTGCAAGACAACGTATCCCTAGCATTAGCCTGTACACAGGTCCAAGAAATTGATCATTCAAATAATCTGGGAAGGTCTGCAAGGTTTGCTTTTGGAAATAAGAAGACTGTTGAGGGAAAAGGTTAGCAAAGGCTAATTATGGAGGCCTCTGGGTATTTTGACCAGAAGCAGAAATGTGGTTCAAACAGAGGCGCACCCTCCATGCTGGCTTAGGTTATAAAGGTAAAATGAGTGATAAATTATATATTTGTACCTACTGTAAGTAGAATGGCTTGCTTTGGGAACTGGTCAGTAACTCCCTGTTTTTGTTCCTCTTCGCTAATCTTACCTCCCTATTTTTGCCCTTTGTTTGTACCCGACTCTTTTGTCTCCTTGTTCCTGGTACCTGCCTTTTGTGATTGATAAGAAAGTTACTGATGCATTATGAAGCGCTTTTGGCCACAATGTATAGTTGGCTAAGATATGCATAGATATTAAAAGTTTCTAGAAAGGGGGGTAAGTGGCTTGGGTGAAGAGCTTATGACGCGACGGAACTGTCTTTATAAGCCTACCTGTTACTAAAATCGGGGCTGGTTCTCTTTGGAGACGGGCCGCTCTCTATTGTTGTGTGCACTCTTCAATAAAGAGCTTGTGATTGGACTTTGCTGGTGTTGGAAGCCGCTGTCATGTTTCAGCCTGTGGCCTGTGAGGAGGTGGGCTCTGTGTGTGTATCCAGAATTACAAGAAAGGGGTGAATGTTTCTCAGTGTTGGGACCAGGAAAACAAGGCCTGGTCAACATTATGCTAAGGAAAGTTAGCAAAGGCTAAT